TGTGCGGATATGGTCCAGACGTACACATTGGTACGTCGCAGGCGCAGATGTCCGGGTTCCCAATGCAATACTCAAAATAGGCATAATATGGTATTTATGTTCCCCCGAACAGTCGAACTCAAGTCAGGGCGCACCTGACCTTAGGAGAAGAGCTTTCTTCCTTGTAAAGTAGTATTTGGTAAAAGTATAAATATCATGTTTCAATGGCAATCATCTATTCTGGAAAGTTTTAAATGCTGGGGTTTTGCACGAGGATAGAGAAGTGTAAAGGGACAGTTTTTACTCTTGGGCGAATGAGCGGCCAACTTGAATGATTGTCTTCACAATGGTCTGGACTTGCTTCGTACTGAAGGGTAACTTGGGGGAATATGGCCATTGGGGTAATATGGCCCTTCACAATGAATCCCTCAACAGAATGAATAATTAGTTTAGGCGAATTTCGAAAATAGTTCTACCGAAGAGCACATGCAATTTTTGACATGTTTAGACCTGTTCATTGATCCAGTTCTCACAGGAATTCGGAATACATCGATGTCTTGAAAGTCATATGCATGCGATTCTTCAACCCACGGCTCTGAAACTAATATGGGCTTTGAGCCACTTAAGCGTATATTTCTTAATAGCAGCATGGATACAAAAACCATTCGTTCGAAGTTATTCTGTGGTCCTTCCTGAATGCTTGTGGAAAGTGCTAGCCCCTTCACTTGCGATATACAGACGGTGTTGTCACTTTTGTCATGCAAGCCAATGTGGGGGAATATGGCCATCTCGATTTGGGGTAATACGGACGCATCCTTCATTTCATGGTAGCACCGCACTGACCGATTGGTAGCGTCAGCTTCCTTTCATGTGGGACCTCAGGCAGCAAAAGATCATCCCATGCATTTCCTGTGGATATATGGATGAACGTACTGGACACCTGGACGAAATATGCAGTTCATAAGGAGGCGGTGCATGAGGATATGCGGTGTCCGGTCAATTCCCCGAACGGTCAATTCCCCGACAGGACAGTTCCCCGAATGACAAATTCCCCGATCACGGTTTTCCGATCTCACGGTAGCGGAAGGAGGACTATCGACCGTCTCCATCTCCTTCGTGTCTAGGGGCCGATTTATAGTTCACGCCCTTGTTTGTCTCTGAAGAGGTACATCATTCACGATGTCTGCGATCATCTTGCGGACTTGTAATTTTCCGGGTTCTGGAGCATGATGATGTTGCCCTTGCCTGCTGACAACCTGCTCTCCTTCAATTGTAGCTTTGAAATTGCTGTTTCCGTTGTTTCTTCTAAAGGGGCACTCCCAATACCTTCTTCGTCCGTCCTTGCTCATCTTGTTTTGTGAGCAGATAGCCCTCAAGAAGATTCTTGCCCTTTTCGCTCTTCACGAACTCCATGAATACACAAACTCTCACACTGTCCAAGAACTGACCACTTAATGATCTGATTCCTAAGTCACCCAACTTCTCCACATACTTCTCCTCTCATCTTTTTCCCTTTCCCGTGAGAATCTTTATCAATGATCTGACTAGCAATGTATCGGCAGTCATGTTCCCTAAAGGAACAAAGTTTTCTTTGGTGGGAGGCGAATAATTAAATGATTTCCTCCTCTCCAGGATTAGAGAAGATTAGCGACTTTCTCCTTCCAGTTGCCAAGACCACCCCTCCCTTTGGTTCTGGCTCGGTTGGGGGCGACCGCATCCCCCCCCCCCCCCCCCCCCCCCCCCCCCCCCCCCCCCCCCGACCCCCCCACCCNGGGGGGGCCCCCCCCCCCCCCCCCCCCCCCCCCCCTCCACATTCCCCCATGCATGATGTGCGAAACAGGAAACTTAAATGGGAGCAAATCCATTTCCTTTGGGGAAATCCCAAACGGGGAACTGACCGTTCGGGGAATTTGTTATTCGGGAAATATTCGGGATTGTCCTTTCGAGGAATTGACCGTCGGGGAATTAACTTTCGGGGAATTGACTGTCGGGGAATTGACCGTCGGGGAATGACCGGAACCGGATATGCACATGCACCACCTCCTGGACATCCGCTTGACACGCACCAGACATTTTTGTAGCACGAAATTTGAATGGAAGTAAATATCTCTTGTACAATAAGTAAAAGGGGCATTCTGTAATTTTTTGGCACTGTTTATGCATGCATGCAAAAACTTCGCAACGTTTTTCCTGCAATTTAAGGCCTCTTATTTCACACTCTTAGCGCATGTTCACTGATCTATCTTTGATCCCTCTTACATCCTCAGTTCATAGATACAATCTCCCAATCACGTGCAACGCTACCTAAAGCAAAAAGCGTTGCAATCCTGCTTCCTGCAGCAGGTACTCGAGTCAGGTAATGATGTCGACTTCTTTGTTTGTCCTCAATGCAATTAATGTTTCTTTTTCAACTGCTGAGCCTTCTTTATTATGTTTCAAGGAACTCAGCATGTTCCAGTATGTTTCACACGTACTTTAAAAACCTTAAATTGTTTTTTTTTTTTTGAGAAATGGCATCATTCCCCCAACAATAGGGGCAATACGGCCTCTTGGGACTGACTTGGAAATTATTCAAAGGCGCAATATCCATACCTTTTTTGCATGTGCATTGCTGGGATTTAGTAAAGGAGATACCAATCAATATTTGAGAAATATTGCATAAGTCTAATTCGACCTTGATGGACCGTTATGACCAGGTTTCATTTTGTAGGGCCATATTCCCCCAAATTACCTTATCCATGATAACTGGAAAAGGCGCTGTTTATGAGAACCAGCATGTCCTGTAGCGTCATGGAGACATTGCCGAGCTGTCACCGTCTCCGTTAACATGATAGTATAAGGATATCTTCCATTATTGGTGACAGTTCACCGACTTTCGGAGACGTGGTGCCGGATGGCGGTGTCACTAAAGCACACTTCAAAGCTCCTCAAAGCTGAAAATTTTGGTTCAAAGGCAAAAAGACTCCATCCGTACCTTTTGAATTGAGATAAGAAGAGTAGCCATTTGTACCTTATTTTGCTTCAGTACCTTGTCAACGAACGTATTTCACGACATATGTACCTCATAACATACAAAATATGTATGTTACTGTACGTTTCTGCTTTACTGTGTAGAATCACTATAGTTCTCAGCAGCATTCGAAATTTATTATCCGTGCAGAATCAGGTTTCAGGCGACAATAACACGAGTACGACACGAGTCTATCTATTACTCAATAGCCTATGGCAAACACAGAAAGGAGATGATTAAAATGCTCAGAAAATCTCTGATGCCCAGAAATGTATTCGCGGTGCAAAAAAAAAAGAAGATAGCTCTTGATAAGGAAATGCATACAGGGGAAGATTGAATAAGCCTTTCTTTGCATTGGGATACAGATAAGAATTCGCCAAAATAGAAGAGGGGCAGATGATACTCAGCTGTCGATCTTTTGTAGGACTAACGTCCCTTGGGAACGACGTGGACAAAACTAGACGGGGAGACCTGGCGTCCAATAAAAGGTGATAAATGGATGGTGCAAATCCGCGTGCTCTACTCTGACACACCATCAGTCACCTGGCCCCATCTTCTCACCCCGCACGTCAATTTCTTGTCTTCCCTCTCCTCTACGTGCTCTTCCCAGCCTCCTCAAGATAGCTAACGTTCCCCACAAAGGAGGATATTCCGTGTTTGCATTGCGGGCATGCTCGACGAGGGCGGGAGAGGGATTCTCGTGGGAATCATGCCACCTTACGAGAAGAATGGTATAAATGGAGACCAAACACATGCCCCTGCGCAATGTTTAACTCTTTCGTGGCTGGCCGAGGCAAACAAACCAAATCGACCCTGACTCTTGGAAAAGAGAATGTGTCTTTTCTCTGCAGCAAGAGATGAAAGCATTCCAATCATCGATCTCTCATGCCATAAGAGCTTTCCGTCTGAAATTTTCAAGTGCTGGAATGCGGAAGACACATGTTAAGATCCACGATCAATAAAGCTGCATCCAGCTGAGCCTTCAATAATGGGGTCCCATATGGTACAGCCTGACCACATGGGACCCTTATTTATTATGCAATTTTCTTATTTCTTGTCCAATTCCTCGTCATTTATTCCTCTCATGAGAAGTTGCATTAGCATATACCCTCGTATTAATAACGTTATGACGGTAACCCATGAGTTACCAGAGAAACTTGGCGATTCGACAAGCATGAATGCAAGTAAGAGCTCACCCTGGTAATTTAAATAACAAGGCGCTCGCATGAAAAACTACTTCCCGAATGAGGCTGTCTCAGAGGATATAAGTATCCGTGTCAATGAAGGCGACATTAGCGTGAGTTTAAATTCAATGTAAAAATGACGGCAACAGGACTTCAGTGAGATGGAGACACGAACCCTCGTGGCCATTACGTGGGATATTTCTTTCGAAATCAGTGAAACCTCAATTACGCTTTGGGTGCACCTTGTGTCGAGGCTCAATGTAACTTTTCTGGTCACAGCCGAACCGGAAAAGGACTTCTGTCTACTGCAAAAAGAACGTTTCAATGTTGGCAATCGCAGGCGAGCCATCTGATATCTGAGTGAAACTCGGATTACCATGGTAAATGTGAAAGCAGGATTTATGGTCTTGGCTTGCCGAGGTAGATTTTCATGAATTACTCGGGTTATACGAGGATAGTGTAAAAGGGACATTACGGAATCTTTCCTGAAAAAAAAAAATGCTCTGGAGGAGATTGAATACTAGGTAACGACAACTATAACTTCAGTTTGGACTGGTAAAACTACTGGATCAAAGTGAGGGTAGCGAGGGGAATGTGGGCGAAATTTTGGAGTGACGTCCTCATTAGATACTTGACCCTTCCCATGGAATAGAGGATTGTTACACATGTGGTCAATGACTGGATTTTCCATGCGCAAGAACGGATCGAAATCGAAGCCTGATCCGTCGCTTATTTCGTCGATAAAATAATTTGAATTCCTTGGAATGTCCTGCACGAATACGTTTCACGCATCCTGCACGAGATATGAACTCATAGGCGAGGGAGCCCTAAGAAACATGGCCGAGGAGTTGGGAAAAGGAGGGGAAAGCGTGAAGGACATGAAGGGCAAGGTGTTTTTCGACATGAAGCGCTCTAGTCTTGGTAACCCAATCGGCTTCCAACTGAGCCCTCGCCACGGTGAGCGCCTCCCACGCCTTCTTCCCTGCCTCCGTCCGGATGTCCAGCTTCGCCAAGCCTCGTCCTGCCTCTTTCGTCTCCTGCTCCAACCTATGCGATCAATACACACTCCTTTAAAATCTCTCGAAGGGATGGGTACTCGATTCAGACCATTCGAACGATGTTTCACCATGCAATTCACATAAATACGTGTAGACGTGGACGTGACCAACCATTCGCAACAATTATATGAACCGAGGCTTTCGTCTTTTATTTCTTTGATGCATTTTATAGTAAATGAATGCGATGTTTTTGAATCTTCGAAATGCAGTCCGTTCTGTAGTGCTATAAACTTTATAAATATAAAGATGAAATGGAATCCATGGATCTATTCACATTCATCTACGAATAAGATTTCAAGAACTTTTTATTTTCAATAAGGTAGGCACAAGCCTGAATGAAAGTTAGACTTTTTTTTTCCCCATGGAAGCGAATGTTAAATATCCCCTATAGAAAATGAGTGAATTGTTCTTCCGTAAAGGAAGACCTACACATCGGCAGCATCGAACTCACCTTCCCGCCAATCATGTCTGTCTCAATAAGATATCGCATTTCAATCTTTAGTGAAAGGGAGAAATCATTTTCGTTTTAGATGTCTCATTTACATGTCTGATGCGATTAAATCCTTCTGTCAATGTGACATGACAGGATTTAATCAAGATTCAGATGAAATCATTCTGTCAAACTCAGAACGAATGAGAAAACGCAAAAGCCTCCAATGCGACTCACTATCAAGAATCATATCCAATGAAAACTGCATCCTATACGAATTTCTTCCATGACGACGTCACGATTTAGGATCCTTTCCCTACTATCGAGTCGAGGAGTGTGAATTATCGTCTATGATAACTGCCCCCGGCAGAAAAGGACGTCTAATCTCATAAAGAAGGTGTTGGACTCCACGAAAGAAATCCTCTTCTTTGGCTCTTCCGGGTCAAATGTGGAAATATGAATTCAAAATGCGACAATAAAGTTTGAATTCGATAACATTCTTCACAACAGGATCGAATTAGGGCGACACGAGGAACATGAAGAGTTGGACTTGGAAAAAAGTATATTGGTCGTGCCTCTCACGAGAATAATGAAATTCGTGCATCACCCTTTTCACTCCTTCGCTTGCATTCTCGATGTTCTTCCAATATAATACGCCCAACGCCAGATGCTTTATAATTAACTTTTCACTTGGATTGGCGTTTCATTATTCTCATTCGTAACTTTTTGACGGGAAACGAGAAAGTATGAATGAATTCCTCTAATGCCAAAGTACATAATTGACGCTGATGCCGTGCTCTTCTGCGAAGCGATTCCCTCATGATTTCGACTTCCAGAGTTGTCTTTACCCTTTCCTCTTTTCGCTTCTCGCTTCCTCATGCAACCGTAGAACGGGAAGAAGTGGCTTTAATATCCAATTTTTGCTCGATTTTCCCATGTTCATGACCGGATTCGACTTGGAAACTTGTCAAGCCCCGTGGGTGACCTCGTAGATCAATAGTTCGGAAACCCAAAGATGAAACTTTCGTCATAGAAGGGAAGTAAGAGTTTCACTTCGAAAGCGGTTTATCTAGGAAATTCATCCCATGTCTCCGAATCGTAGAGGAAAGAAGTGCGGTTCATCACGTGGAAGAATGAGCGTGGAAGAGAAAATGAAAGGATTCTCGTCACGTTCGGCTGGAGGCATTATGTCGTCTTATAGCCTGGATGATGAGGATCTGTCACATCCATTTTCGTCCTCGGAAATGAACCCTCTGCAGCTGATATATGTCTATGATAGGGGATATGATCTCAAACGGCCTGTACCTGTTTGCGAAGCGATTTTTCAGATACAATCGGCAAATTCAGTAATACAGGGTATTTCACAAAAATGTTTACCATATTTAGCTGTCGTAACTTCTTTACTATAATGAGTGTTCGCTTCAAAGGAAGTAAAAATCACAGAGAAACTAAACAATTTTCGACCTAGCGGAAAACATGTTCGAAATGAGCGTCTCCAGCCGCAGAACAGGCTCGAAGACGTAGAGAGAAGCCTCTGAAGGAATCTCTCTCTCTACCACCCATGACAAACGAGGACAAAAAATTTCCCGTTCATGAGGCACTTTCGGCCAGAAATATGTCATCATATTTAAGTATCGCTCAGAATTCAGGGCATTTTTCTGGCAGAAAGTGCGTTACGAACTGGATATTTTTCCGCCAGAAAGATGAGGCAACCTGCCATACTGCCCGTGTTTGACTTGAGTGGTTGAGAGAGAGCGAGGGATTCCCTCGGAGGTTGCTCTCTAAAGTAATAAAAAAAAATTAAATTAGCCGTTGGTTATTTACTGGATGGTAGGTTATTACTAACCATACAGTAATTAACCAACGGTTGATTTAATTTTTCACCATGACATGGATCTTTCGCCAAAAACGGAAAGGAAATTCTTTGAAACTTTTCTTTGAAAACCCCCACAAGTAGAGCTACTGGGGGAGAAAAAAATAGATCGGAATTAAATTCACATCACATAAAAATGAGATCCTGTTCTATCGGCATCCCTCGGGAAAAGGAACTTGAAAATTGCTAGAGGGATTTTGCGTTCAGAGAGTTTCCAGCATACTCGATTTCATTCCTCCAAATACTCTGAGAGAGAATAAGAGAATATTCAGACTAAAGAACAGAGCGAACTTTTGAAACGGGAAAGGATTAAAAAAAAGAAGAAAGTAATAAGCGCTACTGCGCCAACTGAGATATATCTCACTATCCGTCTCATCCCTCTTGAACAGCGGCCAGATTCTTTTTCTCCCTCGAGGATCTCTCTTCATGCAATTTTCATTGTTTTCATTGCGGTTTATGGAAGATTCATTTTGAACGTATCATGATGGGAATGCATCCCATCTATATCCAATTTATCTGAAGAAAATGAGAGCTTTCTCGTCTGGATCGTTTCTCTTCCTACCGCCTTGCGGTAGGAAGAGGGAGAGAAAATAGAAATAAAATTGAGACGCCTCGTGCCATCATCCACGAGTGGTGTGCGCGAGATCGGTTTATGCGAAACTGATGAGGATGCCAATCGACCTGTCTGCTGGTGTAGTACCTGAAGCTGACTGAAGTACCCGGCGTTGCCTGGGGAAATTCAATATTTCATACATGAAAAATTGGGGAACGTTAGCCTTATGGTTTCCAATAAGTTACCGATCTTGGATGTCGCAAAATGCGCTCGGACCCCTTTCCCCTTTTAAATTTTTTTTAAACGTTTTGAATAATTTTAAAATTATTTTGGAGTTAAAAAACCTCTTTGTAAAATGTTATTATCGTTTTGAAGCATATTTTTGATGAAAACTTGATCAGAAGAATATTACTTACTACCTACTGTAGTGATCCAGCAATGGGATTACCCCGGGGTACTGTAATGCAGGTGACCGGGAGGGGAGAGTTAGATGGCATGAGAGGACAAGAAAAAGGCAGGAGACGGTCGGGAATCGAACATGGGCCTACTGGTCGCCGGTCATGTGTGCTACCACTGCACCACCGAAACCAGGAGTCAGTCCTTCCTCTCGATGCATCCCAGACACTTCAGTACCCCGGAAAAGTACCCCGGGAGTGAAAATTTTGGATCGAAACATAGCCTCGACCTTCCCATGGATGAAAGAGGAGGCCATGCCAAGTTTGGTTGCACTGGCTCCAGCGGAGTCCGAATGCATAAAGGAACAGACTGACAGATAAACTTTCGTATTTATATACTGTATATAGATAGATGAAGAGAAAGATGATGCAGCCAATCGTAGGCATTCTCGTGTTCCCATCACAGGCCTGTAAAGATCTTGCCTTTCCTCGTTTCCCTCCCGTTTCCTCTTCGTTGCAAAGTCTACTATTAAGAAGGAGAAAACGTCAACTTTTTTGGTGAATCATTACATCAACCAGTTCGCGAGAAGGATACACCCATCATCTCAATTTCCTCGTCTCTGTATGCAGAGGCTATATCATAAGCATTTCCCGAAAACCCTCCAACTATTTTACATTGCTTTGGGTAAGTATACAGATCTCATGTCATAAAATTTTTTCACTAGATAACTTCTCTTCGTCCGTTTCACCAACGAGAAATCTCACCCAGGAAATTTTAACTTTTATTTTGGCGATGCCGACTAGAAGTGACAATTTTTTAAGGCATTTTCCCCTCTGCACTTCAGGATCCTCTAAATCAGTGATGAGCAACCCGCGACCCGCGGGGCTTTGCCAACTGACATTTTTTTTCCTCTTGTCTGCCACCCGGAGTAGAGCGCACGTGCGCTCAAGGATTCCGTCGCCCACTGCAAGAGATACCGAAGCAAGAAATACTGTACAACATAAATGCTATATTTCCGCTGCAAATATCCCCTCGCTCTCTTCTTGGTCAGTGTATCACTGCTCTCGGAGCAAGCGGCTTGCTCGGTATTTTGCCCAGTAAAAATATGAGAAAATTTTCAAAATTAGTTCTTTGCATATCATTAGCATCAACTATTTTACTACCTGGTTTGCAAAGCCGGGCTTAGGATTATTTTGGTACTCTGCAGGCATAAAGCCTGTAATTCAGTATTTTAAAAAATACATGCGGCCCGCCGGGAACCTAAAAGGTTTCTTTTGAGGCCCGCAGTCAAACAAAGGTTGCTCATCACTGCTCTAAACAGATCTCTGACTCTCCCCTAAGCCTCTGGCAATCTGCAGCTGGGACTTTTGCCTAACTGTATCTCTGCGTCCTTGCGTCATCGTGAACAACAATGACTTCTTCGTAAACGCAATCTCTTCAGTTTAAGCTAATTTCGGTTGACAGCTCCCTCTCTTCTTCAACAGAAACCAGTTTCTCGCAGCTATCCTTTTCCCTGCGTAAAAATCAAATTCGAGTTGCTTCTGTAAAATCTTTCATGTAGTAAAACGGCTTGAGAAAAGCGGACCATCTTTGAGAATGTTTAGAGGATGTATAGATGTCACTACAAAAGAGAAACTTATCTGTACTATCTGAGGTCTCATGAACGCCCCAGTATTTCGCAGAGTGGCACGTTTCTATTCCTCACTCGGTATTTACATTCTATCGTGAGATCGGGACGGACGAGATGAGATGAGGGAGAAAAGATACGATACTCGAGGGATCTAGACGGAATCTATCCAATAGTATACGGCGATAGGCTTCATGAGAGAGAAAGCGGGATCTGGAGCCCTTGGGGCCTTCCCCCATGATTTCTTCCCTTTCTCCTCGGTTTCATTCCACACCCATCTCTGTGCGTCGGAAAAAAAGCTTTGCTCTTCTTTCTGCGCGATCAGGTCTACCCTCATACGACTCCCTCTCTATGATAGGCATGATGCATTCCAGGGAAGAAACGACACAATAAAGGAAACACGCGATCTACGTGGGCGTGGGTGACCCACATCGCATCTCATTTTCCCATCTTATATCTGCAATTTTCTTGGATTATGAAAGCTCTCCTTTCCAAGAATAAGTCTCATCGCATGTTCTCTCCACATCCCTTCCTGCGTACAGAGTTGTGACTTAGCCGCCTCTTGTCATTTCTCTGAATAACTAGGGAATTTTGGGGGAAGAAAGTCTCCATAACTCGTGGAGATGGTTTTCTTCAGCATTCTTCCCATAAGTAATATGAGTAACTTTCCCAGTGCATTCTATCTCACACGAGTAAGTCGTTTCTCATACTTACACGCTTAGAAAAATGGAAATACATTAACACGATATGAAATTTGGATGAAAGTAAGGCCTGCCATTGAACATAAACAGTGAAGAGTGTGCCAATTATCTTGACAACATAATAATGCATGGAAATCCGAATTGTTCTCCACGACAACAAATGACTGATACAAGACTTGACTGCCACGTAGCCACCGCCCGTCTCACAAGAAAATGAAAACATCCTTTCTCGCTGGGGATTTTTTTTTATTTATCTCAGGAAATTCCCAGCTAGTCTAGTTAACGATTGGGATCCCCGAAACCTTGTGAGTTTGAAACACGACTGACGTACATTTTCCTTGGATGATCGAAGCATAGTTCTTGTCCCGGTCGACGTTTGCTTTCGGCCAGGCGACTCAGTGATACATTCAGACTTTCCTCCGTTTCACTACGACTCTCTCGCAATCCTCTTCTCAATGCCTCCACGTTCGACATCTCATCCACGATCTGCCAGCATTGATGAAAGGAACATCAACTATAGACATATTCTGTAGCCTCCTCAAAGCCCTTCTCACCGATGAGGATTCCGTCCGTTCCGTTCATTCATGAACGGCAGCACGATTTCTTCTTTCTTTCTTTGCATTTCTTCGACTTTTTTTTAAACCTTTCATCCATACTCAGATACGAGGGTCACTCAATAAGTTATCTACCTGAATAAGAAAGAAACATCCGACGCAGCTCTTTATGGCAATGCCATAAATGAGATGGTTTTCTGCAGAAAAAAAATTAATATAAACCAGAAAAATATTCACGTGGGCATTTTTTCGTACTTTGCAGGTATGGGCGTTTTTTCCGTGGGCATTTTTTCTTGTGGGTGTTTTGTCTGTTGGCATTATTTCCGTGGGCATTTCTTCAGTGGGCGTTTTTTCGTATATTCAGTGCGGGTCGTGATGTGTGAGAACTTCGACCGATAAGGCGTTCGGTATAATGCTATTCTTATGAAAATGGGACTATTTTTTGGACTTTTGATCCAAGAAGTATCGCATTGGACATATGCTTTCGATCAACATCTCACTCATGAAAATCAGTTCATCTGTCTTGGAGTCTTGGAGTGCCATAGGCACGCTTCGCCACCCTGTCTTCTTACACAGAATGCCCTTCATCCTGAACCGTTCCACGCGAAAATGCGTTTTTGCCCAGATCTGCGAGGGTCCCTCCGTCCCCGTTCGGGCAAATAAGTCATCTGAGGCCTGGAGTACTCAAGCTTAGAGGCCTAAGCGGACTGTGGGTCGGCGACATCAGTTCAACACGATTCGCGGCTTGGAGCAGCAAATCTCGGTCGAAAATCGCTTTCCGGGTCGGGTGCGGGCCACGATTCGAATCGGGCCGATCGAGTTTCAGGTTGGAAAAGTCAACTAGTGCAGCCTCTGACACGCAGAAAGACAGGAGGACCCATAGAAACAACGTTCACATCGTACTTTTGGATTTTAGACCCAATAAGTATCGCCTCCAGGTCATGAGCTTTGGATCGACACCTCAATTATTAAAATCCTTTCATCCGCCTGAGGAGTTTCCCAGAATGACACACATATTGGCCTCTAATGTATATGGATAGATTATTCACCACACTGGGTGTGGTGAATATTATGTAGTGAATAGTGAAAACAAACACCATAATAAGTATTAGATGTTATTACCCCAAAAAGTGTCAAAACAACAAATATAAAACCTTCACTCCAAATTGTTTTCAAGCCATACCACCATGCTGGATAGTATTTGTATAGGGAATTTTACAAACTCCCAACAGGTGGTAGCCCGAATTGGACTCTGGTATGATAAATTTTGTGCCCAAAGATGTCTATGGGTGA